CAATCCCTCTGAAGAATTAATATCTCCATTTGAAGCATTACAAACCCGCCCGATTTTTGTAAACCACGGACAGCAGAGGTCATGCAGTACTGTACTACTATTGCCATTTGCGAAGTTCTAGCTTCGCCCGGGCCTTCGGCTATGGCCCGGCCTTAGTGCAGTACTGTTTTTCGCTTGGATACTAATAACAGTAATTATTTGATTTATTAAACGGTATTGGATTAATGATAAATATGTTTTGTTGTTTTTCGCCATCTAAGTCACAATGAGAGCAGAATAACGCAAAACACTTATTTTATGTTTTAGATAATTAAAGATATTCAAAAATGTAAATGTGGCAACACTATCCAGGGGAGGATGCCCTGCCCCAACACAGAAAGATGTGCTCGGCTCCTAATTGGCCACAAGTAAAGTATTTCCTTCTGTATAGAAGTTTCCCTCGCAACGGTATCTTCCGTCAATCGTTGTTTTTCCACACATACATACATATATATATATATATATATATATATATATATATATATATATATATATATATATATTACCTATCTCATAATACATGAGTAATGATAGCGAGGTTTAATACTCTCCCCGTGGGCACTCGGTGGAAACTGATTTAGAAATTGAAAATTGATTTAGAAATTCGAAACCGAAGTCAGATATACTGAGGTGTATATATATATGAAAGATGTAAAAATGCAATGCCGTAATGACATACATATATAACATGCCACGCAACCCACTAAAAGGAGTGTGCAACTAGGATCTAATTAGCTCCATAGACATTATCTATCTACTCATACATGAGTAATGTATGTATAATGTATAAATAACATCCATCTCTGTCCATGACTCGAACCTAGGAATTGAATTGCTAAATCAATTTCCACCGAGTGCTCACGGGGAGTGTGTGTAGAACCTCGCTATCATTACCAGGGAGGGTTGTTATTTGTCGATACCAATGCGGCATTTCTTTATTCCAACTTTCATACACACACCCACACACACACACACCCACACACACACACACACACATATGTATATCGGTATATGTGTGCGTGTGTGTATGTTATTACTGTGGATATTTTTTTTTTTTCCTTTTTTCTTACTAGCATGTCAACTTAAATTTGACTAATTTTCCTACAGTTTGCAAATGTAGCTGATAAAAATGCCATGTACTTTCATGGTATAGCAGAATCCCTTACAAAATTAGAATATATAGTAGTTTCTGTTTCCTTCCCTAAGTATCTGGCCTACACTAATCTCAAATGCATGCACAGGAACATCACGAAAAGAAATACCTAATCTAAAGCTAACCAACCAACATAGCCTTACCTAATCTAATTCACTCTACCCCAACCTAACCTGACCCAGACACAAAACACCAAAGCGAACGAAAATAGTGTATATCAAAATAACCTAACCTGACCCTAACCTAACTTACCACAGCTTAACCCAACCCAACCGAACCTTACTCAACCCAACCCATCCTAACTTATCCCAACTTACATCGACAAACTCAATCTAACCTAACTTCTTCCAATCCAACCCAATCCTACCCATCCTAACCCAACTTATTCCGACCCATGACCTAACGTAACTTACCCTAACCCAGCCAACACAACCTAATCTAATCTCACCTAGCCTACATATGTAGGCTAGGTGAGTGGATTCCGTCCCCATCTTCTAGAGTTTTAGGCTGTGGGTGATCTAGGTCGCTTTCCGTTATCCTTATTTTATTACTATCTACTATCTCTATTATCATTTGTCCCAATTGTGAAGCTGGTTTTTAAAAATAAAATGCAGTGATGTACCAAATCATTTTGTATTTTCAGGGAAAATACAAAATTACTGGAAGGACGCCGAGTTATGAAACACATTTTGGGTCAAGTACATCGCTTTATATACATTGTAAAAATAAGGTCCGAGATATTTTAGCAGTGCGGACATGATTTTTATTTGGAATTAACTACGCCCACCTTTTATGTTTGCACTATGGTAGAGTGAATATAATCACAGGTATGTCTTATGCAAAGATAAACTGTACATTCTTCGTTTTACATACATATATGTGTGTAAAAGAACTGGATCTAAGCACACACAAAGAAAATAGAATATATGATTAAACAGCACAGCTTGACTTCCAAACTAATTAGATTCCGGAGTTCATTGTAGATTGGTAGAAGAAGGTAAGAATGACAATAACTTGATGCATTTGGCGCGTTTCGATCATGGCTCCATAAGAAAGTTTTTAATTTTCATTGATACCTTTTCAACTGCAACTGCTGAGTACCGAGCTTCAAAACTAGCTTATATGATGTAATTTTACAATAACAATATTAATAATGGCTATGGGAATGTTTAGAAACGCGTAATAACAACAATGGTAATAATCACAGCTATAAATCATGGGACGTATGGATGACCTAAAATCTTATATACAAAAAGTCAAATTATGTCTTGTCATGACCCATCAGAGAGAGTCATTAGCACGTTTCAGTGTTTCTTAGATGGTTTTCATTTATTCAGAAGAAAGTCAGGATGATAAAGTCTTACTAAATCAAAACGAAAAGAGTTATCAGCGTTGCATTCATTATAATGTTCTTCCAAGCACTCAGAAGAGAGAGAGAGAAAAAAAAGTAAAATGTATATAACCTCAGACGCGCAGGAATATTTGGTCATTGGCCTTGCGTCCTTCTCTTTGAAGTTTACTACCTTCAGTGATAAACGAGGCTATAACCCTATCACTTTGTATTAGGGACACACGTTTGCTGGTAAAATATTATAAAGGAACTAAAACACTAGTATATCCAGCTCATCTTACATCTGGCACCTTTATCAGGAAACAAGTGTTGAGAGTGTGTAATACCTACTGTACGGTACTGTTCAAAGAAGAATAACAATGCTGCTGATAATAATGTTAATAGTAGTAACTATTTTAGTTGGTACATTTGTTATTCCATTATAATCACTGATACTATTCTGTGATCCTTGTTACTGTTATTATCGTTATCACACACTCAGGCACACACAAACATACAAACAAACACACACATACACACATATGTAGGGGGATATAGATAGATAGACAGATAGATGTAGATATATGTGGGTGCATACAGTATATATAGATGAATATATATATATATATATATATATATATATATATATATATAAATATATATATATATATATATATATATATATATATATATATATAAATATATATATATATATATATATATATATATATATATATGTATGTATGTATGTGTTTGTGTGTGTGTGTGTTTGCGTGTGTGTGTGTTTTGTGTGTGTATGTGTATATATGTGTGTGATTGTGCGTGTGTGTCTGTTTATATATATATATATATATATATATATATATATATATATATATATATATATATATATGTATATACATACATAGATATACATATATATGTAAATGTGTGCGTGTATGTGTGTATGTATATATATATATATGTATATATATGTATATATACATATATATATATATATATATATATATATATATATTATGTGTGTGTATGTGTGTGCGTGTGTGTGTGTACATTTCCGTATGTATGTATATGTATGTGTATATGTATGTATACACATGATATATATATATGTATATATATATATATATATATATATATATATATATATATATATATATATATGTATATATATATATATATATATATATATATATATATATGTATATATATATATATAAACATAACTACTCACATATATACATACACACTTACTGACTTCCTGTTGTTGACTAAAAAAATGTTTTCTGTTACAGCGGTGAAGTTGCAGTTAGGTGTGAAAATAGAACCAGTGGGGTATCGAGCAGTGATCAGGTTTTTACATTTGAATAGCCGCACACCACAAGAGACCTTCGATGAATTGAAAGCAACTTAAAGGGAGGATGCCCCATCATATGACGTTGTTAAACATTGGCATCGCCGGTTCAGGTGTGGTGGATCTGTGGAAACGGTCCCAATCCCAGGGCGACCCCAGTCTGCCAGTCTGTTCAGAAGCAGGAGCGAGTCCATTGTTCCAAGGCTCTTGTAACCATCAGTCAAGAAAACCAGGAGGAATTTTTGACAGAGTCATTACACAGAATGAAACTAATGTCCAGTCAAAATAATGGAAGAATTTTGACTCACCCCCCCAAAAAAAGGCACACACACACACACACACACATATATATATATATAATGTATATACATATATATGTATAATATATAAACACATACACACACACACACACACACACAAACACACATACACAAACATATATATATACATATATATATATATATATATATATATATATATATATATATATGTATATATATATATGTATATGTTTATGCAAATGTATGTATATATATACGTATATTTGTATATATATGTATAACTAAATATATATATATATATAGATCGCTTTGTACATATACATAAATATGTGTGTATGTGTGTATACATACATACATATATACATATATATACACACTCATATATATGTGTGCGTGTGTGTGTGTGTATTATATATATATATACATATATATCTTTGTACATATACATAAATGTGTATATGTATATCCACTCACACACACGCACACATAAATGTGTATGTACATATATACATATATATGTGTATATATACACACATATATGTGTCATGTGTGTGAGTGTATACATATAAAGCTATCTATATGTGTCTACCTAAACATGATATATATACGCATATGTATACACATACACTCACACGTATGTATGTGTGTGGGAGTTATGTATATATATATATATATATATATATATATATATATATATATATATATATATATATATATATTTATATATGAAAGATGGAGTAATGCAATGCCGCATTGATATAAGTATATAACAGTCCTCCCTGACCTGGCCTCAAACCTAGGTCACCTAGGGAATGAGACCGGAGGGACAGTACTAAACCAACCATGCCACGCGACCCACAGAAGGACTGTGCAAGTAGGATCTAACTAGCTCCACAGACATTACTTATGTTTTATATATATATATATATATATATATATATATATATATATATATATATACGGAGAGAGAGGATATATATATGATGGACAGATTGACAGATATAAATATATATATATATATATATATATATATATATATATATATATATATATATATTCAGTTGATAAGAGCAGGTCTTTCACAAGGAAAAGCGTATATCTAGCTAGGACAAAGTGATGGCTAATACTCTATACGATAGAAGTATCCATATAATTGATATGTATACACTTATATATGTGTGTGTGTGTACATGTTTATATCTTTATATATTAAGAGAGAGATATATAGAGAGAGGACGCGAGGGAAACAGAACATAACTATAATTACATATTACATATTATTACAGATTATTTTTTACGTTTCATTTACCTCTTTTTTTTTCTTCCTCTTCTTGATTATCTCTCCCTCTCCCTTCCTCCCTTCCTCTCCTTCTCCCTCCCCCCATTCCCCTTCTCTCCCTGCCAATTAATCTTTACCAATCTTCCCTCCATTGTAACTAAATCTGAATGTGTGTCCTCTTTCCCCTCTGTTCTTTCTCTCCATACTCATGCCGACGCCAGCTAGCCAATCAGAGTCGAGAATCCGACACAGGTGAAAACCAATCAAAACCTTTCTTTCTTTCGTTCCCACACATGACACCACTCGCCGTATGGCTATTACACTATTCCGTAACTCAGCCTTTGGTGTATATAAGATCGGCAGTCCCCTAGCATCGCCACCAGTATCGCCCACGGGTCTTTAGCAGCGAGGAATCCACCAAGGCGTTCCTCGGGCGAAAATCATGAGAGGCTTCACGCTGCTAGTGCTCGCGCTGGTGGCCCTGGCTGCCGTCGCGCATGCGCAGAAGGTAGGGAGGGCCGAGAATGCCATAGTCTTTCTTGGACATTGGTATGTCATGTTCTTTGTGGTGGGATCGTTATCATCTTGTCATCAGTTTTACTGTTGTTATGATGATTGTTACTATACACGCATACATATGAAAACTATATATATATATGTATATATATACATATGTCTGTCTATATATACATATATGTATGTATTTATATGTATATGTATATATACATTACATACATATATATATATATATATACGTATACATATATATATCTATTAATATATATCTATATATAAATATCTATCTATACACACATATATGAATGCACATATGAAGATTTATGTATATATATGCATACTTATGTGTGTGTATACACATATGCATATTTATATAAACATTTGTGTGTGCCTGTCAATGTATATGGTCGCTTTTCTATACAATTTAATGTGCATACATTTATCCTATCTGGAATGTAAACCGTGTATACAATGCTAATTGGATATATGACAAACCTCAAAATGAGCTGCTTCCCTCCCTTTAACATAAAGCTTCCGACTTCGATGTTTCCAGGTTGAGAAGAGGTCACAGGCATGCGAGAAGGCAGGAGGAAGGTGCGTGAGCAAGTGTCAAAGGAAGTCTCTGGATGACATTTCCTGTGCGAAGGGACTGACCTGCTGCAAACTATGTGAGTCTTAATCAGTGAGTGCATGTTTTACTTTCTGAAGGAAGGTCAAATCACACCAGGACGTATTATGGCTATCTGGTACGTTCATACGGGCACTGTTAATGTCTCGGCCTGCATTTGAAACGGCTGATTACCTTCAAGCTACACAAATTTAACAGACTCCCAAACTAAAAGATCTTTTGATATCTAACAACTCAAGTCATATTCATTATATTATTCATCGTCTAGTAGGTCTTGTAACATAATCTGATGCAAGCAGTAGCAATTACCTCTGTGTTTACATATTGCACGTTTAGCTACTGTATTTATGTACATGTTTACGTACTCATGTATATACAGACGTAAAAGCCCGTGATGTGAGTCGGCCCTACAACTACATAACTTTTCCGCATACTAATGGTTTTATCTCTTACTTCAAAAAGCGAAAAGGCAACAGCGAAAGCAAATGAAGAAAAAAGAGCGAAAACTCAAGCAAAAGGAAAGAAAGGCTTCCAAGAGACAAAAGAACAGTGAGCATTATCTCATTCGTATGCATATACAGACGTAATATATGTATATCTATATGTATGAATACGTATGTGTATAAATACATATATATACGAGTGTGTGTGCATATATATTGTGGACATTACATAAATTCATGTACCACATATACATGTGTGTCCATTTATATATCTATATACATTTACATACATATATGTATATATACATATATATGCTCATACATTCATTTATATTCATATATATATGTACATATATACATATGTGTATATGAACTTATAAGTTTATAATAATTTCTATCCTAACCACAGATAAGGGGTTGAAAGCACAGAAAGAAAACAAGAGAGAGAAGAAAGTCAAAGGGAAAGGCAAAACATTTGCTAAAGGAGAAGGCAAAAGGAGAAAGAGTAAGTTTGAACTTTTTTACATTCTAACATTTGTTTGTAACTCATAAGGCTGCGTGCGTGTGTGTACAGTGTACTTATAAACATTATACATACCAGACATTTTCAACTGCTGGCCCGTGACTCGAACCCTTGCCACTCCAGGTAAGACCAGAGTGACCAGTACCAACCATACCAAACGACCCACTAAAAGGAGTGTGCAACTACGATCTAACTAGCTCCATACACATTGCCCATCTGATCATACGGCATTGCATAATTTCATGTCATATATACATACACACGCACAACCATCTATATACATATATGTGTGTGTGTGTGTGCATACATATATACATATATATGTATATATATATTGTGTATATATATATTTATATATATATATATATATATATTAATATATATATATATATTCGATGTATGAGGGTGTATATGTAAAAGTATATATATTATGTTATATTATATATTAGAGTATCCTGTGTAAAACTGTATTTAAGCTCATACTATTATTCTACCACAGACAAACCTCAAAAAACAGAAAAAGATGGGAAATCACCGCAAAAAGTATCAGGTAGAAAAGCTGCTGAAGATACAGACAAAAGGAAAAACAGTAAGTTTGCTTTTGCTTTTTCACACCTGCTGATATGTGCAGAAATATTTAATACTGACAATAGTAAATAAACATATAGATATAGATAGTTATATATGTATATATGCACAATGTGCGTGTGTATAAGTGTGTATAAATATATTCATATTATATATATATCTATATATATATTCATATTATATATATATAAATATATATATATTTATATATGTATAGATATATATCTGTCCATACATTTATATATACATATATATTCGATGTGTGTGTACGTGTAAAATATATATATCATATTATATATTTAAGAGAGTGTCCAGTGTAAAATTGTATTTAAGCTCATTCCATTATTCTATCACAAATAAACACCCCAAAAAAGAAAAAGATGGGAAATCATTGCAAAAAGTCAAAGTATCAGGGAGAAAAACTGCTGAAGATACAGACAAAAGGAAAAACAGTAAGTTTGCTTTTGCTTTTTCACACCTGCTGATATACAAGTACGGAAATATTTTATCCTGGCAATAGTTAATAAACATTTGTCATATATGCATATGCATATATATATATGCCACTCCTCTCCTCCACTTCGCCTTTTCTTCCAGAATGCAAAGATAGGAAGAGATGCAGGAAACTGGCAGGAGTTTGTCAATCCAAGAAAACGGCTTGCGTCGGCGGCAAGAAGATGAAAGGCAAGAAGTTCTGTAATAAGAAAAAGTGCCGCTGCTGCGTCCCTAGATGTGAGTATTTTCTTTGCAAACGCACCTCACAGGAATCAAATTAATGTTCTTCATCACAAATGATTCAATCATATGCAGATGTTGCTCAAGTCAGCAGAATAACACGCTTCATTTCATATGGTTTTGCAATGCACAAGATGTTTTATAAATTAATGCCCGTCATTCAGGCAACATATTAACAAAGGCTTTATGTGCACCTAGTCACGCAAACATCCGCCTTGTACGCACTCCTGTGCATAAGGAGCGACAAATGCAACTATTTGTGCATTTGTGTGTCCGTTAATGTATCTAGTTTTACACCAAGTCATGCAAACATACGCACAGGTAAGTACACAGGCCTACGCCTACACATACATAAGTGTGTGACAGAAAGAAAAACATAACGAGTTCCTTCTTTCTGCAGCATCGCTGTGCAAAGAAAGGAAATGGTGCAAAAAGAGGGGCGGAAAATGCCAATACAAGTGGGACACTTGCGACGGAGTCACAAGGGCTAAGGGATGCCGAGGAAGCAGCGTCTGCGTTTGCTGTATCCGTGAGTATCCCTTTGTCCAAATGTCTGAATCAGTGCTAAGGCTATTTCCACATACCTAAACTGAACTGAACATTTGATGAATCACTGGAAGCCATTATACGTTGATGTGTGAATAGTTTACCACAAATTTAATCATACAAATACCTTCTTTTCACAGCCAACACACCAACTCCTGCTCCCACCCCTGCACCTACTCCGGCTCCCACTCCCGCACCTACTCCAGCTCCCACTCCCGCACCTACTCCAGCTCCCACTCCCGCACCTACTCCAGCTCCCACTCCTGCTCCAACTGGCCCCACTCCCGCACCTACTCCTGCACCAACTGGTCCCACGCCAGCACCTACTCCTGCACCAACCGGTCCCACTCCTGCACCTACTCCTGCACCGACTGGCCCCACTCCAGCACCTACTCCTGCTCCAACTGGCCCCACTCCTGCACCTACTCCTGCACCAACTGGTCCCACTCCAGCACCTACTCCTGCACCAACTGGTCCCACTCCAGCACCTACTCCTGCTCCAACTGGCCCCACTCCCGCACCTACTCCTGCACCAACTGGTCCCACTCCCGCGCCTACTCCTGCACCAACTGGTCCTACTCCTGCACCTACTCCTGCACCAACTGGTCCCACTCCCGCACCAACTGGTCCCACTCCCGCACCTACTCCCGCACCAACTGGTCCCACTCCAGCACCTACTCCTGCACCAACTGGTCCCACTCCCGCGCCTACTCCTGCACCAACTGGTCCCACTCCAGCACCTACTCCTGCACCAACTGGTCCCACTCCTGCACCTACTCCTGCACCGACTGGTCCCACTCCCGCGCCTACTCCCGCACCAACTGGCCCAACTGCAGGTCCCACTGCTGGCCCAACTGCAGGTCCCACTGCTGGCCCAACTGCAGGTCCCACTGATGGCCCAACTGCAGGTCCCACTGATGGCCCAACTGCAGGTCCCACTGCTGGCCCAACTGCAGGTCCCACTGCTGGTCCTACTGCAGGTCCCACTGCTGGCCCAACTGCAGGTCCCACTGAAGGCTCAACTGTAGGTCCCACTGAAGGCCCAACTGTAGGTCCCACCGCTGGCCCAACTGCAGGTCCCACTGAAGGCTCAACTGCAGGTCCCACTAGTGGCCCAACTGCAGGTCCCACTGATGGCCCAACTGCAACCCCCACTGCTGGCCCAACTGCAACCCCCACTGATGGCCCAACTGCAACCCCCACTGATGGCCCAACTGCAACAGCCACTGCTGGCCCAACTGCAACAGCCACTGCTGGCCCAACTGCAACCCCCACTGCTGGCTCAACTGCAACCTCCACTCAATAAACAACTTTACAAGGCAAATCGCCACCATAGGGAACATTTTGCTTGTGAAAAAGGATATTTATGTCAGTCAATAAATATTGCAAACAGTAGTGCAGATCTTCTTAACCCTTACTTTCCTGAGAAGTTTAAATCAAGGATATCATCACCTTCCTTATATATGAATATATATATATATATTTTTTATATATATATAGTTATATGTATATAATATATATATACATAATATATACATATAATATATACATATATATGTATTATATATATAACATATATAATATATAATATATATTTATAATACATAATATATAATGTATATATATAACATATATAAGATATATCATATATATAATATATATATATATATATATATATATGTGATATATATATATGATATATATGATATGATACATAATATATGTTATATATAATATACATATAGTTATACCAAGTGTATATTATATACATAATTATATATATATAAATATACAATATATGAAAATACAAATTATATATATAATACATATAATATATATAATATATACACATAATATACACATATATAATATATATGAAACATATATATGATATATATACACTATGTATATTATATACAGATATAGTATATCTATCTATTTATATACATATATACATAATATATATACAGATATATAATGTGTGTGTGTAAATATATATATATATAATATATCATAGATCATATATGGGTAGGTGCTTCATGCTCAGGATGATGTGATGGTGTGGTAGCCTAGATAGTGCTTCCATGCCTCCATTATTAAAGCACCCAACTGTAGGCTCAACTCAATCCCACTCCCGCACCAACTGGTCCCACTCCCGCACCTACTCCTGCACCAACTGGTCCCACTCTGCACCAACTCTCGCACCAAATGGTCCCACTCCCACACCAACTGTTCTCACTCCCACACCAACTCCTGCACCAACTGGTCCCACTCTCGCACCAAACTCGTCCCACCCCTGCACCTACTCCCGCACCAAATGGTCCCACTCCCGCACCTCCTACACCAACTGGTCCCACTCCTACACCTACTCCTGCGCCAACTGGTCCCACTCCTATATCAACTCCCACACCAACTGGCCCCACTCCTGCACCAACTGGTCCCACTCCAGCACCTACTCCTGCGCCAACTGGTCCCACTCCTATATCAACTCCCACACCAACTGGCCCCACTCCTGCACCAACTCATGCACCAACTAGTCCCACTCCCGCACCTACTCCTGCGCCAACTGGTCCCACTCCCACACCTACTCCTGCACCAACCGGTCCCACTCCCGCACCAATTCCTGCACCAACTAGTCCCACTCCTGCTCCTACTCCTGCACCAACTGGTCCCACTCCTGCACCAAACTGGTCCCATCCCTGCACCAACTGGTCCCACTCCTGCACCAACTGGTCCCACTCCCATACCTACTTGTGCACCACTCCTGTACCAACGTACCAACTGGGCCAACTGCAGGTCCCACTGCTGGCCCAACTGCAAAGTATATGTATATAACATATACACATAGTAAACACATATATAATATATAGAAATATATATGATATATATAACAGATATATATAGCATATATATTATATAGTACATATACAATATACTTATATAGTAAGTGCTTCATGCTCAGTGTGATGTGAAGTGATGGTGTGGTAGCCTAGATAGTGCTTACATGCCTTCTCACTTGCACCTGCCACCGCTGGCTAGCCTAGTGTGAAAAAGGGAGAAGCTCTGCTTACATCTATGCCTCCTAGCGGATTTAAGATATCCTGTGCTATCAAATTCACATATATATATATTCATATATATATATATATATATAGGTAGAGAACAGCGTGTATTTATCCATCTGTGTGAATGCTTACATATATGCATAGTTAATGTAAGTATATATGCAAGTGTGTATATGTGTATATGTATATATATATATATGTATGTGTGTGTGAATGCATGTGTATAAGTATGTATGTTTATGTGTGTATATAAATTGTATATATATATATGTGTGTGTGTTCATGTATGTAGGTATGTATATAAATGTATGTATGTTTGTGTATAAGTATGTATGTATATGTGTGTGTATATAAACTGTATATATATGTGTGTGTGTTCATGTATGTAGGTATGTATATAAATGTATGTATGTGTATATATAGGTATAATCTTGTGCTATATATTATTCTATTTTTTTTATTAATATTATTATCCATTACAACATAGTCCGATTTACTAGTCTGTTCTTTGCTGTATATATTATATTACATATCATCTTTATTACTGCTATCGTCCTCAGTCCACTTACGAGTGGAATGACTCCTTATTATACCTCCTTAAGAGAGCTTGTGTTCTTAGGAGGCTCAGTCATTCTATTCTTATTTTGCGTATGTCAATCTGTCTTTATGTATATTGGCTAAATAAATGTTATCAATATCAATACCAATGGAACTTCCTCGCTACTATTAAAAGTAAGTGTGCCTATTAGTGCCAGATTAACTATTGCCCTCCCTGTACCCACCCACACCTTATACATGAGTTGTATTCTATATTACAAAACTTCCCTAGCCATTTCTTAATTGCTAGGATATTTTTCTGCTATCGGTGTTTTATCTTTTGATTATTATTGTTTCCTCACATTGCAGTTCATTATATTTGGTTTTCAGAACAAATAACTACATGCAAGTTATTCAATTATTTATATGTTCGGTTGTCCCCGCGTATGTTATTAATGTTTAGTTTTGGCTAATTCATAAAATCTATTTTTTCTCTTCATATGACATGTCTATTAATAATTCCTTCATAACTACTTGTGTCTTCGGTTATATTATGTCAACATATATGTCGTTGTGTTCTTTGGAATATCGCTATTTTTCTTATACTTAGCTAATCGCTTGCTCATTCGCACAAATTTCGATTATCTGACTAGCCTCTAAACTATCTACCTGACCACTCTACACGGAATTCACTCCAGGGATATGAAATGCGTTAAGTGCCATTCCTACGACTTATAACTAAACCAAAATCGTTTTCATGACATCATTTTGAACTTCGATATCTTGTCCTCAATTACTATACTGAACTCATTAATCCTGAAGAATCCTGTGTAATTAACACCTCTTCTTGTGACAAATTGTTCTTATTACGATCTCACTCTTCTGGTATCTTAGTAAGGTGATTGGCAAGTGTATTATAGTCCTCCTCCTTAGCCCTTTTACCTTAGCCCTTCTTGCTACTGAATGGTACACCTCAGACACTACATGCTTATTACATGTAGTGTTTCAAGTTAATGGGCGGCTTGGAAACTCACTGGCAACATCTTCTATAAATTGCTATGCTGGGGGTGAGGGATTATGTCCTTCCCACCCAATAAATGTGGGTCCCTTTGGGAGGGTAGATGTTGAGACACAGGGTGGGAGTGAGAGTTACACGTCCCGCAAAGGCAAAGCTCAAGGGAACCCCGCAGACAGATGGCCCCACAGTCTACTACCCCCCTTTATATGGAGCAGCGTCGATGGGGGAGGCAGAGATGGCATGCACTTGGAGTGACTGCCCAAGCCTTAACGTCAGGCGAGCTATCCAGGTAGTTGCTTGAAACATCCGGTCTTTGCAGCAGGATGAGCGGCTACCCCTGCTATCGAGGGAACTGAATCGATTGAGAGTTGAGGAGGCTGCCCTCTCGGAGGTGAGAAGACCTGGCAGCAGTGTAGTGAATTTCCCCTGGCTTCAGGCGGGTACTCCCTCAGGCTTCCGGGTCGCCTGTTCCCCTGACGTTACAGATCTCTATAGAAAATCTACGGACTCCTCCGCCTTGCAAGATGACGTGGTTTTACTGTTTTCCTGTATTTGTCTGTTATATTTTTTATAAGAATAAACCTGTGTTTTATATCCTTTGACTTATATTTTTTCATTGGACCATGATCTACATCTATATCTACACTACTTCTACTGTACGTAACATTACTTATACATTATTTACATTATGTTCCATACTTAGCTTGTCTTGGTCTCGTTTTTTTGTTTTGTTTTGTTTTTTGCCTTCGACTAATTCACCTCAGCTTTGTTTCTCACTCGTTTTTCTCGTCGTTCTTTTCCCGTTTTTCCTCACGGATCCCTTCTTTCATTTTTTCGTACTTTCCTGTCTTTTATTTCTATTATGTGCCCATTTTTGTATAGTTCTATTTTTATGTTATGTATTTCTAAGCTTATTTTAAACTCACCACACAGTATTTGATAAATTAAATCAACTGCATCATAGGTAAAACATCACCAAGCGCAAGAAGTCACCAGTATAAAAGGTCAAGCCAGGTCGGTCAGAGGGAGAGGCTTTTATCTTGTGTGGTGAAAGATTGTTGGATTTTTAGCTGCCTCAATGCTGCTTCTCGTGCTGTGGCGGGTTCCCTCTGTTGTACCAAGTAAGTGTATGGTGTATTGTCTTGTATATTGGTTGTGTTCGAAAGATATGTGCGTAATAAATGTATAATATGGACATTACCCTTGTAGTTGGGTAACAATATATGGATATTGAGTTGAATAACACGCTACAAAACTAATATCTCTGACTCTACGGAGTTTGATTATCCACTACAGTATGTACACCTAATACTGATCGGACCCGTCGGTCTCATCTCCAGGACACACACACACACATGTATGTATGTGTGTGTGTGTGTGGATATACATATATATATAGATATGTATATATCCATATACATAAAGAGAGAAAAAAAGACAAGAGGGAAGGAGAGGAGGACAGAAATGAACATAATTATAATTACATATACACATTTAAAGATACACGGCTAATTGGGTGAATATTTTTCATGTGTCATTTACCTCACTTTTTTTCTTGATTCTCTCTCTCGCCCTGTCTCCCTCTCCCTTCCTCCCTCCCTCCCCTTCTCCCCCTCCCCCTCTCTCTCCCTGCCAATTAATCTTTACCAATTTTCCCTCCATTGTAACTAAATCTGAATGTGTGTCCTCTTTCCCCTCTGTTCTTTCTCTCCATACTCATGCCGACGCCAGCTAGCCAATCAGAGTCGAGAATCCGACACAGGTGAAAACCAATCAAAACCTTTCTTTCTTTCGTTCCCACACATGACACCACTCGCCGTATGGCTATTACACTATTCCGTAACTCAGCCTTTGGTGTATATAAGATCGGCAGTCCCCTAGCATCGCCACCAGTATCGCCCACGGGTCTTTAGTAGCGAGGAATCCACCAAGGCGTTCCTCGGGCGAAAATCATGAGAGGCTTCACGCTGGTAGTGCTCGCGCTGGTGGCCCTGGCTGCCGTCGCGCATGCGCAGAAGGTAGGGAGGGCCGAGAATGCCATAGTCCTTCTTGGACATTGGTATGTCATGTTCTTTGTGGTGGCATCATTTTCATCTTGTCATCAATTTTACTGTTGTTATGATGATTGTTACTATACACGCATACATATGAAAACTATATATATATGTATATATACATATGTCTGTCTATATATACATATATGTATGTATTTATATGTATATGTATATATACATTACATACATATATATATATATACGTATACATATATATATATCTATTAATATATATCTATATATAAATATCTATCCATACACACATATGAATGCACATATGAAGATTTATGTATATATATGCATACTTATGTGTGTGTATACACATATGCATATTTATATAAACATTTGTGTGTGCCTGTCAATGTATATGGTCGCTTTTCTATACAATTTAATGTGCATACATTTATCCTATCTGGAATGTAAACCGTGTATACAATGCTAATTGGATATATGACAAACCTCAAAATGAGCTGCTTCCCTCCCTTTAACATAAAGCTTCCGACTTCGATGTTTCCAGGTTGAGAAGAGGTCACAGGCATGCGAGAAGGCAGGAGGAAGGTGCGTGAGCAAGTGTCAAAGGAAGTCTCTGGATGACATTTCCTGTGCGAAGGGACTGACCTGCTGCAAACTATGTGAGTCTTAATCAGTGAGTGCATGTTTTACTTTCTGAAGGAAGGTCAAATCACACCAGGACGTATTATGGCTATCTGGTACGTTCATACGGGCACTGTTAATGTCTCGGCCTGCATTTGAAACGGCTGATTACCTTCAAGCTACACAAATTTAACAGACTCCCAAACTAAAAGATCTTTTGATATCTAACAACTCAAGTCATATTCATTATATTATTCATCGTCTAGTAGGTCTTGTAACATAATCTGATGCAAGCAGTAGCAATTACCTCCGTGTTTACATATTGCACGTTTAGCTACTGTATTTATGTACATGTTTACGTACTCATGTATATACAGACGTAAAAGCCCGTGATGTGAGTCGGCCCTACAACTACATAACTTTTCCGCATACTAATGGTTTTATCTCTTACTTCAAAAAGCGAAAAGGCAACAGCGAAAGCAAATGAAGAAAAAAGAGCGAAAACTCAAGCAAAAGGAAAGAAAGGCTTCCAAGAGACAAAAGAACAGTGAGCATTATCTCATTCGTATGCATATACAGACGTAATATATGTATATCTATATGTATGAATACGTTTGTGTATAAATACATATATATACGAGTGTGTGTGCATATATATTGTGGACATTACATAAATGCATGTACCACATATACATGTGTGTCCATTTATATATCTATATACATTTACATACATATATGTATATATACATATATATGCTCATACATTCATTTATATTCATATATATATGTACATATATACATATGTGTATATGAACTTATAAGTTTATAATAATTTCTATCCTAACCACAGATAAGAGGTTGAAAGCACAGAAAGAAAACAAGAGAGAGAAGAAAGTCAAAGGGAAAGGCAAAACATTTGCTAAAGGAGAAGGCAAAAGGAGAAAGAGTAAGTTTGAACTTTTTCACATTCTAACATTTGTTTGTAACTCATAAGGCTGCGTGCGTGTGTGTACAGTGTACTTATAAACATTATACATACCAGACATTTTCAACTGCTGGCCTGTGTACCATATGCATATTGGGTACAAAAACAGCCTACAGTGGCTTTGTCATTTTGACATAGAAATAGTACGGCACTGATAACAAACATTCATTGATAATTTGAGTGATGAAAATAGCATTTCAGTATTTAATTGGCGAACTAGTATGTCATGCAACCGGAAGCAGAAGACAATGGCGTTGCAATTGATGGGAGACGTTTGTTGAGCAGAAATTATAGAGGCCATCGGATATTTTCAATAAAATTAAGTAGGCACGGCCCTCGTATGGTATATATATAGACATAGATAGATATATGTATATATGCACACTGTGCGCGTGTATGTGTATAAGTATATGTATATATGTATGTACATATATATATTTATGTTTTACTCTCTCCGTGGGCACTCGAAATTAATTAAATAATTCGAAACCGGATTTAGATGCACTGAGGTGTACATGTGAAAGATGAAATAGTGCAATGCCGCACTGATATAGATATATAACAACCCTCCCTGACCTGGACTCGAACCCTTGCCACTCCAGGTAAGACCAGAGTGACCAGTACCAACCATACCAAACGACCCACTAAAAGG